GGGAAAAATGTCACCAGTTTTTCTTCCGAGCTTAACCTTAAAAACTGTATAACTAGAACGTATTGAAATATATTTATGTGATGGGTGGTTACACAATCTGGCACATTGCAAAAAAAAAAAAAAAAGCACTTCTTAGCTTATATGTAAACTGTGGTGAAAAAATAAATCCTTCACATCATCATGAACACAGTATATCCACAGTAAAACATAGTAGTGGTGGCAGCATCATCCTTTGGGGATTGCACTTTTGTTTAGCAGGGACAAACTGCACAGTTGGTAGAGCTGTTGTCTTGCAGCTAGAAGGTTCTGGGTTCGATTCCCGGCCTGGGGTCTTTCTGCATGGAGTTTGCATGTTCTCCCTGTGCATGGTGGGTTCTCTCTGGGTTCTCCGGTTTCCTCCCACAGTCCAAAAACATGACTGTCAGGTTAATTGGTTTCTCTAAATTCTCCCTAGGTGTGAGTGTGTGCATGGTTCTTTGTCCTGTCTGTCCCTGTGTTGCCCTGCAATGGTGCTGACCCCTCCTGACCCCACTAGAGACAAGGGTGTACAGAAAATGGATGGATGGAAACTGCCCAAATAACATTCAAAGTCCAATCTGCTGGTGTACCTGACATCTTTGCCAACAGTCATGGCAGCGATGACCTTCTTTACTGCCTCTTTCCTCTTCTCTTTCTTCTCATTGTTTAACTCAGCCTTCAGTTCAAAGATCTCCCCTGAAAGATGAATCACATAGACATGAAAGACAATAACTTTTTTTCTAAAGTGTTCTTCATCTTTAAGTTTAAAGGAAAAGAAGTTTCGTAGAAAAAAAAACAGATCTTTTCTTTAAAGAAAAAAACTGGTTTGATAAAATTTTTCTACTCACCCTTTTTGTTGGTAGTGAAATATTTGGAGTCTGTCATGATGGTGGTGTTTGTGGTCTGCCAGGAACCCAAAGCAAATATTAAGAAATTGTTGCAGTTAGTTAATATATAACTAAAAACTTGAGATGCAGTGCACAATATATTATTAACATCAGTTGATGTTACTTATTTTCATCATATTGATATAGCTTTGACAAAAAAAACTTGACCAATATTAACTGATATTTAAATCCATCTATAGTGTTTCAGAGGGGTGAGGGACGACAGTTGGTCATGTGGTTTCTGTCTGGTCATCTGACTGTGATAGTGATGCAGTGCAAGAGTATGGGGCGTCAGGGACATATAAAATACATAAATATCACCCATGACAATGGCAGTACTAATATCAGATATCGCCCCAAGTTTTCGTATTGGTCCATTCCTCTTGAACATTTTTTTTAACCATAGCTTATTTTCAACACATCAGCCTGGAATGGCAAAAACATTTTTATATCATTAATCAGAGTTGTTTAACTGTTCAGCTTCATTCCCCGGTATTTTATGCCCAGTAATTTGGAATGTAATATCCAGAAATGAAAAATAATTGAAAAAGAAAATAACATTTTAAATTGCATTTTAATTGACACATTATGTCCTGTTTGTTTAAGCTGCACTTGATTTGAATGAGTGAATTAGAGGTTTGTCTCTGTACATTAAAAAGTAACTGAAAGGCTCACCAATATTATATAGATGTATTATTTCAAACATTTATTTCTGTTAACAGAAGGTGATATGTTAATTTTGACTTCTCTGGAAGTTAAAATACTACATGGGACTAATTTTAAACCGTTTAATACAAAACCTTCTGACAATCTACAGGTTAAATAACAAAATGTCACAACTAAATAAACTGTTTTTAGAGTGTTGTATCCAAGTGTAACTGGAGTTGAGCCTTTTTTCATTCAGTGTCATCAACAGAAAGAGAAAAAGGCAGGAAGAGACGATAAAGCTGATATTTAAAATGAGGTCCATAGGTTTAATTTATCAGTAACAAATTATGGAGAGCGTAATAGAAGGAAAACGTATGTAGAATGCGTAACTAAATAAATAACATGTTATTTTCTCAATTTTGTGGAATTTAGCAAGTACAACTAATTTGGCTAATTCTAACTAAAACAAGATAAACTTGGTCTGATTTAATTTCAGACTGAGAAAAAAATGTGCGCGTGTCTTATGCGGTTTAAGTAAACTACTGGTTTTGACTATTCTTCCAATATGCAAAATGAAAAAACGATTCAACAGTTCCAAAGCGAAACAATGTGCTTTAAATGAGACTGCGGCAGACAAAAATATAAATTATTTTGGTAAACAACCACATTGCCACTCAGATTGAGGTCCTTGCTCAATAATGTGGATTGCTTTCTCACATTATTGCACTTCATTGGTACTGCGTCACAGACATCAGTTGGGGGGGACACGTTGATAACGTTACACCTCACACCTGTCTTTATTAAACGGCTATTTTCCTTATCAGTCCACGCCACTATTTTATCCCTACATAATTAATGTAGCCCCGAATTATTGTGTTTTATGGTTAAAAGTGTTTTCGTTTGTGACATTATTTAACCTTCACGAAATTTCCAGCTCGCAGCAACTTATTCCAACCTCTACACTACCACCTTGCTAACGTTGACTAGCTGAGTCGCTGAAGTTAGCGTCTGATTAACCATCAGTAAAGGGCTATTTCGCTGCTTTTAAGACAACTAATTAGCTCTTGTGAACAATTTGAAAGACAATGCCAGGTCATACCCAGACAACATTATTATTCACTGCTTATAATAGTGTGCTTTGGAGGAATCTGAACGGATTAACAATATTGTAGTTTATAATCAGGACTCCGTCTGAGGTGGGCTAACTGCCAGAAAAATGTTTCTTTTGTCTTTTCTCAAATATAGATTTTCCACCTCCTGTGATTAAATTATCTAGAAATATAGTAAATATTTTGACCCAGTTTTGATGATTGCACCTAATGTGCATTTTGATCTGATGAAAACTAGCCCAACTTCCTAATAAAAAACAATGAATTAGCCTTTAAACAAATTGAAAGCTCCAAATCGTATGTGAACTTCAGCGTCGTTTCTTAGCTACAAGCTAAGAGCACCGCCATCTCCAGTTATTTTCAAAACTAGAGACCAAAACTTTTATGTCAGACTGATTTCTTGATTTATTAACTTTTGACCGAGCAGTGCTAAGAGGTTTCAGTTAAAGATTGTGTTAAAAGTGACGCAAAACGGGAGGAAAGAGAGTAGCGGCCCAGTTCCCATCATCGCTGCTCTTGCTGACAGAACATAACGCTAATGCACCAAGACAATACACAGATCAACACATCAACACATTTTGGTGACAAAAGTCACCAAAATGAAATAGTGTTATAATAATATTTAGCAAAAAGATAAGTTACTTACCTTCTAGAATAAGTAACAGACGAATTTCAATGGGGTGCAGCAGGACGCAGGTTGGTCCCTTCCCTGTTCAGAGGAAGATGGAGAATGGTGCTTTCACAGTCAGGGGAAATCGGATAACTTCCCTTTGTAACTGACGGAAAAGCCGTCAGATTTTGTTCAGTTTTAAGCATGCAGAGGAACGTCGTAGCGCCTTTTTATGACAGCAAGATTGTATACAAATACCTTATTTTAAATTAGCAATATTTGATTCTACAAATTAGTAGATTCAACAGTTAGTGAAAGTTTTACTAAATGTTTTTGACATTTTAAACAACTCAAAGATGTTTGTTTCCAAAATCTTTATCCTTGTTTATTTTTAACAACAACATCTCTAGTCTGGGCTCAGAAATACACAGGAATTCTTATCTTTTTCACATCAACCATATTTCTGCTGTCAGACCCAATGTCCCACGGTTTTGAACGCAACACTTTAAGAAATCGTTTGCATTGAAATGCAAAGTTAGGTTCAAGTCGAGTTTCTTAATGTTTCAGTTTTTTAAAAATAATAACCTTTAATCAGTAATAGTGTAATCAGTCTACTCTTGGATATGAAAACATAAAGACAAAAAATGCCCCGAGTAAAAAGAAAAACTGATATCTATTTGGTTGGGAAACAATAGGGTGGTTATATAAGTGTGCATGTCTTTAAATTAATACTTTACTGAAAACCTTTAGCTACTTTTATTACAGCATTCAGTCTTTGTGGGTAGAAGTCTGAGTATTTTTCATAAAAATGTTTCAAATCTACCAAATTGCAAGGTAATTCTCACAGATTTTCAATCAGATTCAGGTCTGGGTAATTCCAAACCTATAACTATCTTCCAGACTTCTGTTGTAGGAAGGACAGGTTCTCTTATGTGACCTGCAAACCCTACTCAACTCGAAATTGAAGTCTTTGGGCTTAGATCAACAGCTAATATTGGTAATGTGATGTTCATCCTCAGTAGCTTTCCTGTAGAACTTACTGAACAAAATATATTTTATGTGACAACAGATTAAAAGTGGCTAAATTCACAAAGAAAAAAGTACACAAAGATAAGCAAATTTTTGTGTTTGCATGTTTATTTCACAACAATATTAGATCCAAAATGTTACAAATTGAATGAAAAATTAATGAGAAAAATAAAAGAAACTTGACATTCCTTTGCTATTACTCGGAACACATTTGTGTTTCTGTAAGCACAGATAATATGCTGGCCCTGCTTTCAGCTTCATTTTGACTCCTATGCAGAGGACTCCGGCTGGAGTTGGGCAGCAGAGTTAAGAACATCTCTTGGAAGACTTTCTCTGGCCTCTTGCAGCCTTTTATGAGCCCTCTGGTAGGCCTCTAAAAGGAAACAAACAGGTGTAAGAAAAATCATAATTATTTATTTTGAGCAATAATGTGGTAAAGAGACTTTTCCATAAAAATTTCAACTGTAAGGAGTTATTGATGTAAACATTACGGAGCCCTCCAGGGGACATGAGGAATTTTTTTTCTTTTGCGTTCTCTCGCAATAATCTACTGATCAGTTCATGCAGCATAATTGATACTGTAAGCCTTTTTTACGGTGGCCGCCGTACTTTCTGCTTTAATACAAGCTTGTAAGGTTTTTCAATGGACTATTTCTGAGTTATTATCGCGGAGTAATAAGTCATCTGATTGTGTCTCTATTGTGTGTCTGAATGGTTTAAAGGGCTGCTTTCAGTGCCGTTCCATCTGAGCCTTGACAGACATAAACATGCAGTAAATAAATTGATTTTCAATCAGTTTTTTGCACCAAAGCGTTAATAATACTAAAAACATTTTATATTATAAAACACAGCAAACTAATGGTGGTAGACGGCCGCACTGGGTTAACTCGGGGAATCTCATCTGTCCGTGTATCAATCAACTCCTAACCTCTTTGTTCTGTCACAATTATCGATTTATTTCATTTTTATTATCATGCTCCAAACTTTGCGAGGACTGACCCCCCAGCTCACTCGCTTCCTCACACACACAGAGCCAGCAGCGTCACCTTCCCATTCATACTTCATGACAGTCACGCCCACATCGACACGCCCACCACCAGGTGTCAAAGCCGCTGCTCCTGTCATATCAATAATTACTTATTTCATCTATAAGAGCCATATGCTCTTATAGAGCCTCAGTGAAAACGTGTTTATTATTATTAACACTTTGGTGCAAAAAACTGATTGAAAATCAATTTATTTACTGCATGTTTATGTCTGTCAAGGCTCAGATGGAACGGCACTGAAAGCAGCACTTTAAACCATTCAGACACGAACACAATGGAGACACAATCAGATGACTTATTACTCCGCGATAATAACTCAATAGTCCATGGAAAAACCTTACAAGCTTGTATAAGAAAGTACGGCGGCCACCGTAAAAAAGGCTTACAGTATCAATTATGCTGCATGAACTGATCAGTAGATTATTGCGAGGGAACGCAAAAGAAAAAAAATTCCTCATGTCCCCTGGAGGGCTCCTTAGTAAACATGTCCTGTTTCTGAAATAAATATTTCTTAGAATATTTGAAAAAAATTAAATAAAATAAACCAATGATGCTGTTAGATTTAGGTCTTCAAATCAGATTTTAATACATAGAAAATATGATGAACTACATTACCAACAACTTCTAGTGCCACAAAATGTCATTTAAGAGGTAACAGATGTTCACTTTTTGTGCTTGAAGTCTCCAAATGACAGAAACACCTCAACTGGTCTCACAGACCCCACAAAGAGGAGAGGAAACAGAAAAACTAAATTCTTAAATGGACTGAACTTATATAGCACTTTTCCAATCATTTTGACCACTCAAAGTGCTTTACACTACAGTCACAAACACATTTATACAACATGCAGATCAGTAGGCAGTTTGAGGTTAAATGCCTTCCGCAGGGTCATGTAGCAGGAGGAAGCTGGTATTGAACCTACAACCTTCAGATCTCGAGACAACTACTCTACCCACAGAGCCACAGTCACCCATAAATTCTTCTGTTTGATTAAAATGAAATATCACATAGAAATCATCTCTGAATAATTTGTGTCATCTCTGCTGTCTTTGTACTGACTTAGAAAAATTCTAACCGTTTACGACATACATGGAAAGAGCAGTTTCAGCAACCCAACCACAAATTCCCTAAAATCAAAACTGAAATTCAACGTCAGCAGTTTTTACCCAGAATGCTGCAGACCATTCCCTGCTGGCTAAAACCTCCGAGGTGGTCGACCACTTTCTGTCTTCTCTTCTTCAGAAGAGCAGCGTCAGCAAAGGCCCTGAAACCAACAAACCAAATATGCACACATTGAACCAGACATTCAATTATTCATTGGTAAGATTAAAGTGTGTATTGCATATAGGAGTTAAATCTGACATTTTGTCATTTTATTTAGACTTTAACAATTTATAAATAAAATAATAATAATAATAATAATGTAAGACTTTTTTTTCATCTGCATGCTTCTAAATCTTCTCTACTATGTGGAAAATATTTTTCTAGTATTTCAGTGAGATGTTTATTTTGTCACAAATTGAATAATGTGAGTAATTTCTTTAGTTACTGAGTGATGATTATGTTTGCTGTCTTGCATGATTTGATGTTCAGTTTTCTTCATGTTAATGGGTCAGCTGGTAGAGCATGGAGTTAAGTCAACAAATGTCAACTTAAGTAATCTGTTTTTTAAAAGATGGTACATCTTTGCATATTTTTTTACATTTATTTTCAACTTGTAATTTTTTATATGACAATTTACAAATACATTTTGTAATTGTGTGAGTTTGAATCAAATTTTTTCTTGTAATAAAAAAGCCCACCACCCTTTACAGCCACCTCAATAAAAATTGTAAAATATATCAAAATAAATTCATTATTTATTTACTTTTGCCAATATATTTTGACACAGAACATTGTAGAAAAGTCACAATAGAAACATTTTGAAAAAAACATTGGTCAAAACTTTATTGACACTCCAATTCACATAAAACAAATGTTTATTAAGCTATTTAAGTATGGACCACTTATTTTTAAATGCAAATGTAACTTTCAGTGTCCAGGAACTTGAGTAATTTTTTACAATTTAATGTTTCCCTGTGGCATTAATATGATGTAACACCCATTTCTCAAGTAGACCAAAGTTCAACTTGCAATGCAAACAGGTGGTAATGGTATGGTAATGGAGTTTAAAAAAATCTGCAAAGCTCACTGCTGCAGAACTGCAACAAAAAGTGGCATCTCCATGACAACCACTGGACACCATCTCTCCTACTATCCTCACTGTGAATGAATGGAGTTTGCTGAATGCTAATGGGAATAGAACTGGAGTCATGTGGCTTAGTCAGATGAGAGTAACATTCAACTAGTAGCAACAAACAGTCTACATAGGCCCGCTTGACTGAAATAACAACATTTTTAATATAAAATGTATTAATCAATTGATTCATTCTTTTTTTTAGTTAGTTGGATGTGTGGAAGGAGCTTACCTGGCTTGTTGCATGCAGTGCAGCCTGAAGGTAACACTTCCTGTGGTTTCAGTGCAAAAGCCAAAGCGACTCAACCTCTCTCCCTGAAGCCAAACACAAACATAACATCTAAACAATGAGGGCTTTAAATCTTTCTTTACTTTTGCAAATGTCTGCATTTGTCTTTTTGAAACATAGACACTTTTAATTTAGAGACAAGCATAAATGTCACCACCATAACAGTTTGTATTAAAACTAGATGAAAAAATGATATGTTTAGGAAAGCCTGTAGATCCACTTCAATGTAATATGTAGTCATTTTCCATAAAGTAGGATATTTTATGGACAAACAATTAGGTTTGTTTGTCAGATTAAAAGTACATTTTAAAACTAACAAACTTTTAGCAGGTGTTAAACACACTTAACTAAGCCCACATTTCTGTATTAAAAAGTTTTTCATTTGTCTGATGTAGTATTTTAATTTAAAATGTTGTGTTTTCAATTGCTGAAAGCGGAAAATGATCATGATCAACAGAAATAAAAGCTTGAAAATAACAGTCTTTATGTAGTTAATCTATATAATGTGTTTCACTTAGTGGCTTCAGTTACTAAAACAAATAAACAGTAAATGGAAGATATCTCATATGATGAACTGGACTCCATGTGCAGTTTACCAGTTACAAGTCTACCTTAAATGTCCCTGGTACTCTGACGTAGCTGTTGTCTTCAAGTTCTGCAGAACCTCCGATAAAGAAGCGCCTCAAAGCAGAAACTGTCCCCGTCTGAACAGGTCTCCATGTGTGACATGTCACTGTGTGTTTACCTTGCACATATGCAACAGACATTGCAGACTATTAGAACAAAACATTTCACATCTAAATCATATTTTGCAGTAGTTCATTTGTGTTCTGACCTTTAGTTACCAGATTAATTTATCATATGTAGGTTTTATAATGTTGCACCATCAAGCCAAAAATAAATAAGTAACATTAAGTTCTGGTAAAATATAAGCAAAGACTTTCACAAGCTAGTAAATGTAAAAACAAGAGAGAGAGAGAAAAATGTCACAAATCAAAAGAAAAGACTGATCTCAAAAATAGGAAAAGTTATAAGTTTTGTAGCTTCAAAACCTCAGCCCCAGTTTTTAGTGGAGGATTCATACCAGGCATGGCGGGAAACAGTAGATACCCGTAGCCTTCAGTTCGGTAACGCTGCCAGAAGTCAAGGGACAGGACTTTGAAGTAAAGCACCGGCCACTGGGGAATTAATTCTGAAATAAAAAAAAGAAGTCTTATTTTTGATATTAACAATGGGCTGCACAGTGCTGCAGTTGGTAGAACTGTTGCCTTGGAGCAAGAAGGTTCTGGGTTCTATTCCCAGCCCTGGGTTTTCCGGTTTCTTCCCACAGTCCAAAAACATGACTGTCAGGTTAATTGGCCTCTCCAAATTGCCCCTAGGTGTGAGTGTGTGTGTGCATGGTTGTTTGTCCTGTGTGTTTCTGTGCTGCCCTGCGACAGACTGGCGACCAGTCCAGGGTGACCCCACCTGGAACGTTAGCTGGAGAGGCACCAGCAACCCTCCTGACCCCACTAAGGGACAATGGTGTAAAGAAAATGGATGGATGGATTATTAACAATTATTAGGTGTTTCCGTATGCTTTGAATTTGGCTGGCATATTTGCTGTTAATACACTGAATTTTCTAAATGAGGGACAAATAAAGGAGTATTCTACTCTATTCTATTCTATTTCAGGTTGGTCAGTCATTGTTTTATAGTCCAGAAAGATGTAGTGAAATTTTGAACCTTTTTAGGACCTTTTATACTACTCTGGATATTTTTTACATGAAAACCTTTTCTTTGTGTTTGAAAAATAATCACCATATAAAGAATGTGTATGACTCCATTCTTGCTGCAGCAGGGTTGAGAATAACCTTGTAATTGCATCAAAGTCTAAAAAACAAGATCCTGAGCATGGCTAAAAAGTGCGATGCTAATGATTCTCCAAAAATAACTTTAGTTGATGTTTTCTGTGAAATTATACATTTTTCTCTTGATTGCTCACATTATCTTCTTCACCTTACATCTGAAATTTGATGTAAGCAGTTATGATAAAGACAGATTTGTAAGAGAACATACAAAACTGCTTAACTATGTTTTATATTTTCTAGCAAATAAATGAAGAGCAAGCATATCAATAATATCCAGATATCAAATCTACATTATCTACAAAGGCAGTTTTTCAACATCATTAAAAAAAAACAAACTTTGTTTGCATGTGAAGATGAGATGCATAAAGAACAGAAGTTTATTTAACAGAACATTTATGTCAGTGTACATGGGGCAATACTCCTCCATGGTTTAAATCAGTGGTCCCCAACCTTTTTATTACCGCGGACCGGTCAAGACTTGGAAAATTTTGCTGCGGCCGGGGGAGCGGGGCTGCGGGCGCGAACCGTCAGATAAGGCTTCTGCATGTTGGTGTTCCCGCTAAATCCTGATTTGGGTTGTCTTGGCCCTTTTATCGCAGC